CCAAAAAAAAAATCCAAAAATACATGAAAAAATTTTGAAATGTTTTAATTGTATGAGTGCATGTAGGCTGATTGGATATCTAATCTTAAACATAAAATCAAACAATATTGTTTAATATTTCAGCTCAAAGGCCAAATGTTAATGGCAGCTGGTCTCCTTGGAAGCCTTGGTCGGAATGCAATGCTGAATGCAATGGCGGAATTCAACGACGAGAACGCTCATGCACAAACCCTCCTCCTAGTGGTAATGGGAAAGATTGTGTTGGTTTGCCAATAGAGACACGAGAGTGCAATACACATTCTTGCAAAGGTACTTTTTGGTTACTATCAACAAAGGATGTTATATATACCTGCTTTTCATTGATTAATTGATTGTTTAGTTGATTGATTGTTTATAGGTGAAATTGTGCAGTCTGAAGAAATGTGCACATGTAATATATTTGAAGTACAGCATTACACTTATGACATATTTAACATAATCAATATGTAAGGTTAAATTTATTAGTCCAAGATGTTAAAAAAGATGATTTATGGCACAATACGGGTGTGTATGATTGGGTGTTGTTTTTTTTATTTGTGAATGTATTCTAAATTATCACGATAAAAATTGCCACAATATTATAATGCTTCATTAATCCTGCAAAACTGCACCTCTTGCTAAGCAGCTCCCTCTATCTTCTATATTTCCAGGCTCTTGGTCTTGCTGGTCCGATTTTAGTGCATGTAGTGTCACATGTGGAAGAGGTCGGCGGTTTCGCATGCGCACATGTAGTAGTAGTGTCGCTGGAAAAACATACACTATCCCATGCGCGGGCAGTGATAAAGAGGAAGAGGCATGTGAAATGCCTGCATGCGGTACCGTGCTGCGTATGTATAATATACTGTTATATATTAAATATTTATGTGCGTGTGTGTGTGTGTGTGTAATAATGAAATATATTTTGCATTTAAATTAGGAATGTCTAAAATAGAATAAGTTTGAAATGCATGATAGGTAGACTTACAATATATTTATCATAAAAGTATTATTATCTGTTACAATCTTGTATATATATGTCATATGATGATAACTTGATACATTTTTTTTACAGAAGAAGATGGCTGGGAGATGTGGACGGCATGGGGCCCATGTACATCAGATCAAAAACAAGTCAGGCGGCGTACTTGTACATTGGTTCTCGGGTGCGAGGGCCCAGAGGAAGAAACCAGGATGTGTAATGAAATACGTAAGTATATATTAAACGTGGTGCAGAACTGAGTGTCATCATAATGAGTTGTACTTATAAAGTTATGTATCACACTCTTAGCAATTTGTAACTAAGCAGTTTGATATTAAAATATATATATATTTTTTTCAGTTTTTAGAAAGTTATTTAAAAAGAAGAAACTGAACTTAAATTTCTAAGACTTTATTTAAGAATATTATAGATACATGTTTTTTCATAAGAAATTATAATAACATATAGAAGATGCCGGCCTTCGTTGCTTCAATTTTCATTTTTTTTTTTAGGTCTGCTTTCATCTCCATGCAGTGATCATTTAGCTTAAATGTTATTTTCATTACCTCTAATTTGTACTTAATCAATTTGATTTTAGCCAACATGGCGGCAGTATTGGGTGGACAGGAGAACGGAATCCAAGTCGTCCATGTTGTCGTTGTTGCTCTGTCTGCATTCCTTTTGGGTGGAGTTATTAGCATTGGGCTTTTCCTGTATATTCGACATTTCCGAAGAAGCAAAGAGGAAATTAAGCAGAACAAGCAAAATAAAATGCTATATGACAGCAAGCCTCACTTACATCCCTTCCCATCATTCCCATCAAACATGGATGTCACACAACAAAACGGGAACAATCCTCGATATTACAGCACAGGATCACTGACTTTAAATAATAAAGATAAAATGACAGTTAAGGAGGCCACACTAAAAAGAACATCTCTTATGAGAACTAATTTGTCTTTAACAGACCAGGAGTTATAGCAAAGGCCCTGCTGTTGAAGTGACCCATAGGTGTCACTTTTACACATGACAAGCTGGTGTCAGGATTTTGACCCAGTACTTACAGAAAACCTATGCAGCAGCTGAATAATGAGATACTGTGATGATGTACTGATGTTACAGTAGTGAAATGTAAGCAGTGGAAAGCAGTATTGCTTTGTATATAAGTATATCGAAGATATTTCTTCCAAACATTACATATGAGAACAATGGATTGTGTTGTAGTGATGCACTGATTCCAGAACTCTGATGTATACTCACTTTGCCCCTGGATACAAGGTGACTGTATTGGAAATGGAGGGAGGCCATATTTCAGTTGCAGTTTGCCCACAGTGACAAATAACTAATGTTGCAACAATTGGTGCTTTTTGTTCAAAAAAAATGATGCAGAGTTACAGATATGGGTACCAGACAACCATACTTCCTCAATGATTCAACAAATTGTACTCTAGTGAGATGATGACCACAGAGGGAAAAAAAAAGAAGAGTGAAGAAAATATCTGGAGTTTTCTTTCTCAGTTTTGCTACCTGTTGATTGTGAAAGGATGAAAAATGATCAAATCTAGTTGTTGACCAAGAAGCTAGTGGCCATTTCTAACAATATCAAAGTATTAATGGTGAACAGAAAGATGGACTGTAACTTACAGATACTGAAGAGATTGATGAAAATGGGGCTTTGAAGAAGATGGCCGTCCACATTATAAACAGTATACGTAACCTGGCACTTATTTAGTGACATCTTGTGATATTACTCAAGTAATATTAGTTTGATAGTTTATGAATAATCTAATATTGGTGTCCCATTAACTCTCTTAATTTCTGATATTCTGTAACATTGTTTTGATGCTGTCGTGGATATTTTTTAAAGATGTGGGTTTCGAAGNGAAAAAAATTTGAAATGTTTTAATTGTATGAGTGCATGTAGGCTGATTGGATATCTAATCTTAAACATAAAATCAAACAATATTGTTTAATATTTCAGCTCAAAGGCCAAATGTTAATGGCAGCTGGTCTCCTTGGAAGCCTTGGTCGGAATGCAATGCTGAATGCAATGGCGGAATTCAACGACGAGAACGCTCATGCACAAACCCTCCTCCTAGTGGTAATGGGAAAGATTGTGTTGGTTTGCCAATAGAGACACGAGAGTGCAATACACATTCTTGCAAAGGTACTTTTTGGTTACTATCAACAAAGGATGTTATATATACCTGCTTTTCATTGATTAATTGATTGTTTAGTTGATTGATTGTTTATAGGTGAAATTGTGCAGTCTGAAGAAATGTGCACATGTAATATATTTGAAGTACAGCATTACACTTATAACATATTTAACATAATCAATATGTAAGGTTAAATTTATTAGTCCAAGATGTTAAAAAAGATGATTTATGGCACAATGCGGGTGTGTATGATTGGGTGTTGTTTTTTTTATTTGTGAATGTATTCTAAATTATCACGATAAAAATTGCCACAATATTATAATGCTTCATTAATCCTGCAAAACTGCACCTCTTGCTAAGCAGCTCCCTCTATCTTCTATATTTCCAGGCTCTTGGTCTTGCTGGTCCGATTTTAGTGCATGTAGTGTCACATGTGGAAGAGGTCGGCGGTTTCGCATGCGCACATGTAGTAGTAGTGTCACTGGAAAAACATACACTATCCCATGCGCGGGCAGTGATAAAGAGGAAGAGGCATGTGAAATGCCTGCATGCGGTACCGTGCTGCGTATGTATAATATACTGTTATATATTAAATATTTATGTGCGTGTGTGTGTGTGTAATAATGAAATATATTTTGCGTTTAAATTAGGAATATCTAAAATAGAATAAGTTTGAAATGCATGATAGGTAGACTTACAATATATTTATCATAAAGGTATTGTTATCTGTTACAATCTTGTGTATATATGTCATATGATGATAACTTGATACATTTTTTTTACAGAAGAAGATGGCTGGGAGATGTGGACGGCATGGGGCCCATGTACATCAGATCAAAAACAAGTCAGGCGGCGTACTTGTACATTGGTTCTCGGGTGCGAGGGCCCAGAGGAAGAAACCAGGATGTGTAATGAAATACGTAAGTATATATTAAACGTGGTGCAGAACTGAGTGTCATCATAATGAGTTGTACTTATAAAGTTATGTATCACACTCTTAGCAATTTGTAACTAAGCAGTTTGATATTAAAATATATATATATATTTTTTTCAATTTTTAGAAAGTTATTTAAAAAGAAGAAACTGAACTTAAATTTCTAAGACTTTATTTAAGAATATTATAGATACATGTTTTTTCATAAGAAATTATAATAACATATAGAAGATGCCGGCCTTCGTTGCTTCAATTTTAATGTTTTTTTTTAGGTCTGCTTTCATCTCCATGCAGTGATCATTTAGCTTAAATGTTATTTTCATTACCTCTAATTTGTACGCAATCGATTTGATTTTAGCCAACATGGCGGCAGTAATGGGTGGACAGGAGAACGGAATCCAAGTCGTCCATGTTGTCGTTGTTGCTCTGTCTGCATTCCTTTTGGGTGGAGTTATTAGCATTGGGCTTTTCCTGTATATTCGACATTTCCGAAGAAGCAAAGAGGAAATTAAGCAGAATAAGCAAAATAAAATGCTATATGACAGCAAGCCTCACTTACATCCCTTCCCATCATTCCCATCAAACATGGATGTCACACAACAAAACGGGAACAATCCTCGATATTACAGCACAGGATCACTGACTTTAAATAATAAAGATAAAATGACAGTTAAGGAGGCCACACTAAAAAGAACATCTCTTATGAGAACTAATTTGTCTTTAACAGACCAGGAGTTATAGCAAAGGCCCTGCTGTTGAAGTGACCCATAGGTGTCACTTTTACACATGACAAGCTGGTGTCAGGATTTCGACCCAGTACTTACAGAAAACCTATGCAGCAGCTGAAAATTGAAATACTGTGATGATGCACTGAGGTTACAGTAGTGAAATGTAAGCAGTGGAAAGCAGTATTGCTTTGTATATAAGTATATCGAAGATTTTTCTTCCAAACATTACATATGAGAACAATGGATTGTGTTGTAGTGATGCACTGATTCCAGAACTCTGATGTATACTCACTTTGCCCCTGGATACAAGGTGACTGTATTGGAAATGGAGGGAGGCCATATTTCAGTTGCAGTTTGCCCACAGTGACAAATAACTAATGTTGCAACAATTGGTGCTTTTTGTTTAAAATAATGATGCAGAGTTACAGATATGGGTAACAGACAACCATACTTCCTCAATGATTCAACAAATTGTACTCTAGTGAGATGATGACCACAGAGGGAAAAAAAAAGAAGAGTGAAGAAAATATCTGGAGTTTTCTTTCTCAGTTTTGCTACCTGTTGATTGTAAAATGGATGAAAAATGATCAAATCTAGTTTTTGACCAAAAACCTAGTGGCCATTTTTAACATTATCATAGTATTAATGGGGAACAGAAAGATGGACTGTAACTTACAGATACTGAAGAGATTGATGAGAATGGGGCTTTGAAGAAGATGGCCGTCCACATTATAAACAGTATACGTAACCTGGCACTTATGTAGTGACATCTTGTGATATTACTCAAGTAATATTAGTTTGATAGTTTATGAATAATCTAATATTGGTGTCCCATTAACTCTCTTAATTTCTGATATTCTGTAACATTGTTTTGATGCTGTCGTGGATATTTTTTAAAGATGTGGGTTTCGAAGCCAATAAGTGTTGATGAGATGATTAAGACGCATAAGTAGACTGTAGAAACGTGAGGAAGAAATTTGAGATATTCCTTGAAGGGGAAATTTGAGATATTCCTTGAAGGGGAAATTTGAGATATTCCCTGTCGTCATAATGGTGCTGGGATAATGAGTTTCTGAAAACAGATGCATTTAGATGTAGATAGGATGAAATGTTTTCCGTGTCTAAACATCCTAATTGAAGGATAGACTATTAGTTGAAGCATTTTTCAAATGTTAATTCTCGTATACTATGGCAGAGATTCTCCGTAATTACCGTGTTTTCTATCAGCAGCACAGAGAGAAAGGAAAACCCATTCAATGAAGAATTCCACTTCATTCAGTATTACTCATATTAAAGTGTCCTACTGTTGTAAGTGACAGTTTCTATAAAACAAAGGTGTTTGTTATGATAACAAAATTATTTGCGGCCATGCAACATTGGTTAATTAATTTTACTAAATTTTATCTTGATTTATTTATTATAATTATTTTTATTTTATTTGTATTTTTTTATATTATATATGAGTTGTTAAAATATCTGAATTACTTTTATTTGTATTGATATGGAATTTCTACTTGTGAATAAGTACAAAGAACAGAGGTACATAGTTTTGGTTGTACTAGTAGCAGATGGCCACAGTTCTTTAATTATTATTCTGACATAATTATTTATCATTTGCTGTGTTGGGTCCAATTCCAGACTTATCCTGCCTTCACACAAATTCAACATTAGGCTTGAAATACAGTCCTATTTATGTCACCAGGTTTCTTTATTACAGAAAAAACACTGTTAACACTCTAGTCTCTAAATTCCTGAATCAAGGGATTTAATCATCTGATAATTGGGATCATTCAAGTTCGCTGAAAGTCTAAGACGTAAAATCATGCCTGGGATTTTGAGGAGAAAGTGGTCGTAACTTGGTAGATTTGCCAATGCAGTGTGGTAATGGAGGGCAAAAAATTTTTTTTCTGGTCGTTTTCTCTAATGCATTGCTGAATTACAACACAAATACACCATGTTTGCATGTTGCTGTTGTATTGCTTACTTTTACTTTTACACGTGCAGATATATGATGTCAACCAGTGATGACAGTCTCATTTTAGAATGTCTCGGATGATTGCCATTCAAGTTTCATGCATTTTTGTCTTACTTTTACACTGCCCAAACCTCTGCGTTTGTAAATTCAACTGACTTAAAATTCTGAACCTACCAGTAGACTTTCTCTAGCTGTTTAATTGACAACTGATCTCCTTAAGACCTTCTTAGCATTATTTTCATGTGTTATTGTTTTTTGCAAGTCAGTGACATATGATAAAGGGCATGGTTGTTATTTGTTGTTGAAGGCATTTTCTTTAACTTAAAAATGTAGATCCCGAGTATAGCAGTCTTTTTGTTGGTTGTACAGTAAACAATTACATGATTATGGAGATGCAGTTAATAACAATGTTGTTATGACTGCTATATAAGTGGGGTCTCTTAAAATCAGTGGAAATGTCTACATTAATGAGAACCCTTAATGTTATCAACTGTGAACAATACCAGAATTCGACTTCAGAATTCACCTGTGCCAATAAAATTTGTTTCACGTTAAGTTTTCCATTTTGAACTGACGACTGTGGTGGCCTCTTTTGTATACTGATGGGTTTACTGTATTTATGTCATTTGCTGCTATGAAGCTGAATTCCGAGGCAGATGAAGGCTTGTTGTGCAATGTGTTATTTTCGTTAACATATCATGCAGGTAATAGTAAAGTCTGCCAATATGAACTCAATTACACAACAAAAATAAGGAACCTGTTATTATTTTCTCTTTTTGTGCAAAGCAAAAAGTCACATATACTTAATGTCACATATCTTGTACATATGTATATAGTTGCCTTCATATCATCACAGCATATAGAAGACGTACTTTTGTACACTTTTACATATGAATATAACATAAAACACGCATGTCTTTATTTTTTTAGTGATTGTCAAGAAAGGATCTAGGAACTAGGCAATATTGGGCCTCTTACTTTTTATGTTGTCACTGAACTCATGTAGCCTGACACTGCCTGCCATTTATAATGGCCACAGTTGTAGATGTAGGTTTGTGATTTGAGCGTGAAGACTAAGGGCTCATCCCAATGAAAATATTGTTCTATGTAGATCTTCACCACCTCTTTGCATTGAATACAATACAGAAAAGCTGATAATTATACGAGTACTTTGGATACAACAGGTGGTGTGTTAACCTGATTGCATTCAGCAAGAGTCCACTTGGAGTTAGATCGATAGACATAGAATGATAGTTTCTTTGGGAATGAGCTCTATGACAAATATGATCAGTTGAGGTCATGATAAGTGTTAAGATAGTCATTAACATGATAGACTATGGGATAAAACATTCAAATACCAATTTATTGAGAGCCCTTCATTGTTATATATGTGCGTTTCTATATAATGTGTCTTAATTAAAAACAAAATGTGCATGTATTACCAGCATGTTGCTTTGGTTTGTAGTATATATGTAAAGAAGATAGTAGTATTGCAAAAGGAATGCTGTCATGTTGGCAAGCTTTGTCAGAGAATGTTTTTTTATTGAAGTGATAATGTGTAGCAGTTGAAGACAAGTTTTGGGTTAAATCCAGTCGTCTGTTCTTGCTTAGTCTTCCTTAAGTTAAGGCATTTTTAAACTGAATTGAAAAATATTTTCAGATGATAAGATGTTTAGCTGTTTTTCAATACGGTACACTTTATGAGATTCCAGTGAATGTGCATTTAAGATTTCAGAGTGCTATTTATACATTCTATTCATTTTTTCTCTGGATAATGTTTTCATGCTAACGATGTAATTGATTAGGCAATTTCTTACGAGGAAATGTTTGTTCACGTATTTGGCCATATTTCATGTGTTATAATCAAGTTTTATGGAATCATGGTTGAAATTATATCTCATCAGTGTTACGTCTTCCAGAAGTTAGGAAAGAATTCACTTTTTTATGCTGAAGTATCGACTCTAGATACGGACATACCCAGCGTTTTTCCTATATTGTATGTACTCTAAGGAGTAAAAAATTTTGTCTTTTGAAATAAAGATGCTTATTATTGAAAACAAAATACATGATATACTTTGGGTTTTATGATTTCAGTAAGCCGTCTTATCTACCTTCCTTCATGGCAACAGTTTTTCTTTTTGAGCACGTGATCTGAACACGTGATAAGCTATGTAGTCCCTTATGAAAAAAGAAAAATTGCCTGCGAAATGAACAGAGGACTTGGGCGCGACTTCGATAAAGCCATGACAACATTACTTGCCCTTAAAATTAGTGCTCACAAATCCGAGCCTCGAGTTTAACAAACGCTTATCCGTTTATAATTGAGGCATGTTTCCTCAACCAGTCTTTCAATAATTAAGGAATGCGTCCTGTCGCGCCCTCGCACGCCTTTCGTTTTTACAAATCTGTTTTTTCGGATAGTTGTTTTCAGCATATGTTACCCATTTGAATGTTGTAATGTTTCATTTTCAAATCAGTGATTTCACAACTTGCTGTTTGTATTTGGCTTTCTATTTGGCTATCTACAAGGAAGTTACATTCAAATTTTCACCCAGACAATATTTATTCAAACTGATATTGATACGTAATGGCACGTACACAAAAACAAATCGATTCGCCTTTCCACTGAAATTATTGTCATCTAATTGTTAGACAATTATAGTCTAAAACTGAGGTCGTTCTACAGGTGTATATAATCCGAAAGCAAATAAAAATCGTTCATTACCAGAACTCAGATTGCCCGATATAAGATCATAATCTTATTATATGAAATAAATAAATGTTCTGATTGTCATCGTAAATGTAGCCTACCTTAAAAATTGAGCTTGTTGGCGGACAAAGGCGTTTAGTATAGCTAAAATACTATATTCTGCACTATATATATATATATATATATATATATATATATATATATATATATATATATATATATATATATATATATGTGAATTGATAAATATATATATATATATGCTAATAGACCGAGCTGTGATTTCTTGGAGCTAAAGAGCAAACATCCACACGTATATGTACAAGGT